GAGAGGAGAGGGGAGAGGAGGAGAGGAGGAGAGGAGAAGGGAGGGGAGAGGAGAGGAGAGGAGAGGAGAAGGGAGGGGAGAGGAGAGGAGAAGAGAGGAGAGGAGGAGAGGAGAAGGGAGGGGAGGGGAGAGGAGGAGAGGAGAAGGGAGGAGAGGGGAGAGGAGCAGAGGAGAAGGGAGGGGAGGGGAGAGGAGGAGAGGAGAGGAGAGAGGGAAAAGCCAACAAAACTAGGGTTTGAGGGGGGCACCCACTGAAACCTCCTCTTGTTCCCAGGCAACCAAAGAGCACCCTGACCCCAGGCTGGACCATCCAGGTGCACAGCTACAGAGACAAGGGCAAATCCTCCCCGTGTGTGTGTAGCAACCTGGACAAACAGAAATCCATTTGTGAGCTGGAGGTCTCAAGGCTGGGAAGGGAGCCTCCAGGCACGTGCAGGGCAAGGGTGGTGGACTTGGCATTGAACGCATCCTCCCTGTACTCCTGACGCTGGAGCTGTCTGCACGGAGAGGCCTCGTGCCCAGAGCGCTGCAGCCGTGAGCTCAAAGGGGCAGGGGGCAGCCGTCTACGGATGTTTAGGTTGAGGGCAGGCTGCCGGCAGCCTCTGGTGGGTAGCGGCCAGCAAAGCTGCCAAACATCCCACAAAACACAGGGCAGCCCCCGACCCCTACAAAAAGCCAACAACCCGGAAGGTGAATGGTGCCACGGCCAAAGCCCCCCACTCCGGAGGCAGGCTCCCTGCTGCCACACAGTGATGGGGCAGCAACAGCCCATGCACTGTGTCCCCAGAGAACCTCACCGCCCTGGCTGGGCAACACTGCTGGGATTCACGCGCCGGTGGGCAAGGCTTCCCGCAGACACCTTGACGCCCCGCACAGGACTCCACAAACAGCAAGCGTACGTGTTAATGTCACTGCCCGCTCAGAAAAGGCACGGGGAGCTCCATCCGGCTTTCCTCCGGCCCCACAGCCAGGGCCGAGGAAACCCAAGCCTGGGAGTCCCCAACTCCCTCATCATTCACAGCATCTAACGCAGCCACTTGGGAGACCTCCAAGTCCACGGTCGGATCTGCGCACGGACCCTAAGACACCCCCCCCCAAGCCTGACCCTGGCATGAGTGCCACAGAAAAGGCAGCCGCACACGCTCCCGCCCCGAGTCTGAGAACCGTGCGCCCGGCAAAGCAGCTAACGTTCGGGAGACAGACGCTTGTGCCGGCACCCGCTGACAGCCACAGCGAACGCTACAAAGCACCGGCACAGAAAGCGCCGCCGGGCGCTGGCTCTCTGAAGAGGAAAAGCTGTCATCCTGGTTAGCAAGGGAGGCCAGACAATGAGAAGCCGGGTGCACACTCACTGGCGTCACTGGCGTCACTGGCGGCGGAAGGCTCAGAGGCGACCGCTGGGACGCTGCCCCCTGGCATCCTGGGGTGCCACTGGCCCGCCGGCCCGCGGGGTCTCCGGTCCCCACATCTCCAGCCACGGCTGCAGCCTGTGTGTCTGCAGGAATCAGAGCTGCTTTCCTACTGCTGAAAATGTTTGCGATGTGCCAAGCAGATGGTCCCACGCTTATCAGCCAAAGCTGCGCTTCAAATGGCATCGTTCAGTGACACACTCGAGTGGAAATCCTCACCCTGACCCAGAGTGGAGACAACTGGCGATGATGTATGGTGGCCGATCGCCACCAAGGCCCACCGGGGCCAGCCAGGGCTAAGGAGGAAGACGGCCGGGAGGAAGGCCACATGGAAGAGCAAACGCACGTGTGTGGGGGGGAGATCTGCGGACCAGCTCGAGTTCCTGGTTCAGCCTGCAACTAGTCACGTGACCCACGGGGAGTTCCTCGAGACTCAGTCTTACCACCTGTAGAATGGAGCTATCGGTCACAGCTCTTTAAAAAGTCGTTGTGATGAAGTGGGCTGGGGGCACCGACCCGGAGGCACGTGGTCCAATGATCAGGTCTCTGTGCGCGTCCTGCAGCCCATCTGCAGAGAGCAGCCCGTGCGTTTAACCCAGGCAGCCTGTGACAGGCCAGGGCAGGGAGAGGAAGCCAGGGACCCAGGTTCCAGGACGGAGGATCCCTCTGCAACACCTCAGTGGCCAGACGGCTTTGCAGCCAGGTCCCGGGACTCCTCCTGGGAGCGGCTGTTTCCTTTAGCTACAGATTCCCACCCATGCAGTCGGGAACACGGGATCAAATTACCTCCACCCACCCTCCCCCGCCTTGCTCCCCACTTTCCAGAGAACTCAAGGCAGAGCTAGGCAGGAGACGCCTGGGTCATTCAGCTACCAATCCCTTTGCTGAAGGACCCCCCCCCCATCACAGGGGTTCCTCTTAACACAGGGACCGCCTAGGAGCTACTGCTTCAGAACAGTGATGGAGCCGGGATCAATTAGATCACAATGGGTGGAAGTCAGCAGTTTCAGATCCTGCGGGAAGCAGACCAGGGGGCCTTGGGTGCGGCTCTCGTCCCCTGTTGTCAAGGGCAGCCTGTCCTCCCGGGGTGGGGGTAGGGGACAGAAAGGAGAGAGGGGGCCTTCCCTGGACGCCTTCCTGCCGCAGACCCAGGACGGGCAGGGTGGGCGGAGAAAGCAGGTGTGGCCTGGGGAGGCAGGTGTGAGAGCAGGTCGCCGAGCCCGGGAAGCTGGAACCCGTTCTCTTTACCTGGTGCTGATGTCCAAGGGAGGAGCGGCCAGCGAGGGGGGGGTAGAGGCTGCAGAGCGAACAGGGGCTGCCTGCCGAGCAGAGAGAGGGGCAGGGGAAGGAGGTCCGACTCAGAGAGAAAGCGTGCTGGGCTGGGAGGCGTCCGGAGTCCCAAGCCTGAGGGCAGAGGGGCACGGAGAGAACCGGCTGGGCCAGGAGCAACACGGATCCGCCTTAGCAGTTTCAGGTTTGCCGCACAGTTCACCCTGTCCCCACGGCACTGTGACACCCCGAGCGGAGTGACCAACGAGAGGACTCCAACGTCATTATGTAAGTCAACAGAACCGATTTGCTTTTCCCAGTTCCCAACAGAACAGAGACGTCGTCCACTCTGGCTGGGGACGACCAGCAGCCCCACTGGGAAGCCGGTGAGAGGTGAGAGGGGAGGGAGCCACCAGGAGGCTGGGGTGACCAGAGGGCTTCCAGGGAGAAAGGAGACTCCAAAGGGAGCGATGGCCGGGGGCCTGGAAGCCATGGCCCTCGCGCCCCATAGGGGTCAGGTGGCCGGGGGCCGGGGGCGCCCAGCATTTTGTGACGATCGGCAGCACTGACAGGCGGGAGCTGCTGCCGACGGCTGAAGCTGGAGTTTCCGTTGTGGTCATGATTTATACTTAGAGAAAATACAGCAACGCACAGTAAAAATAAAACTGCTTGCACTTAAGCCACAAATAGGTTGGCTATTTCTGCGCTTGGTTTTGTGGGTAATCATCTCCTCTTGCGGGGTGGCGACAGCTGGGGGGAAGTGTGCGGAGAGCGGGTCCCTGAGCCCTCGGAGCCTGGGCGGCCCCAGCTCCCAGTGTGGAAGCTCCGGTTCTCATCACCGCAGCCGACTCACAGCCTCCACGGTCCCCTTGAGAAAGAACGGGTCCCTTCTTCCCACCAAAGGGCAGAGAACCCTGGGGGAGGGGGCGGGGGGAGGGCCCTAAGATCCCCAGGTGGTAGACTGGAAGCTGCAGGTGGAAGCCAGATGGGGGAGGGGGGGTAGAGGCTCATCAGTGCCCCCCCCCAGCCCCCAGCCGGGAAGCTCTTTTCTCTCAGCCGGCAAAGATCACCCTGGGGGCTGGGAGTCTCACATCAGAAATGGAACTCATGGATGCTGGATGCTGAGCCTATGGGGAGACGGTCCAGCCCTGGCTGTGGTGCGAGGCAGCCTGGAGGAGCCAGAGGGGAGGAGGGAGGGCAGACCCCGCAGCGGGCCCCTGACTTCCTGCACACGGGCCAGGTGCGCCATTTGGGAGAACTTCGGGTGTGCTAGAAGTGTGGACTTGGACGGGGGTGATGGGCATCTCTGCAGCCCATTCGTTTGATTGACAAGGTCTGGGAGCAGGGCTAGTCCCGCCCTCTGCCCTCCAGGGCTGCCGGAGTTTTCAGATCTCACTGGCCAGATAGCGCCGAAGATAAAACCCTGAGAACAAAACTCTCCCAGGCTCATGCAGCAGCCTCCGGGAATCCTCTCCCGGCTGCTCCTGCCTGCCCTGCCCCGGGATTGGCTGGGTTTGTCCCAAGCAGTGACCTTGACTTCATCGCAAATCTGAACGAGAGCGGCACCAAACCGTCCCCCATACCACACCACGAGGTTGTTTCCTCCACCCGGACAGGCTCACGGGGCGGGCACAGCAACAGCCCCCACCCCGGACACAGCCTGGGAAGATGGGAGCGGCCCCTGCCCCCCAAGAAAGCGACTCTGCCCGAGCACTGGGAGCAGCAGGGAGGACGCGAAGTGAGCCAGGACCGAGCCCGCAGCCCTCGGCAGAGCCAGCTCTGCGCCTGGGCCCCGGGGCGCCTGCGATGCTGCCCAGAGCAGACAACCAGGACTCGCTGACTGCAGAGCAAACATCTGCAAAAGAAACAGATGCCCAGCTGCCTGCTCTGAGCCCTGTCAATCCACAGGAAGCCAGTCCCACGTGGCACCCCGTGGCATGGGCCACGCGGCTGGCGGGTAGAGGGGAGCCGGCCCCTTCCCACCCCATCCCCCTCCTTCATCTCCCCTCTTGCCAGGACAACGCTGGCCTAAAGGGCCCTGTGGAAAGCCAGAGCCCCGAGCCCAGCTGAGCCTGTGCAGCGCGGACACCCCCAGGGGGAGCCTGCGTGAAACCACGGGGAGCGCGATCATCAGATCCGTTACCAGGCCTGATGCGCCTGTGCGAGCGGCTCCCCCTCCCCTCCCAATTCCTCTTCTCTCCCGGGAGACGCGAGAACATTTGCTAAGGGCTTGGACTTCTCCCCATTTATAGATGAGGCAAGTGAGGCTTGCAGAGTTTAAGCAATTTGACGCAGAAGGGACGAAAAATCCACCCATACCTAAGTCACGGAGTTCGTAAGCTACGCAGCCTCTTCTCCAGTCTGCTGGCCCCTTCCTCTCATGTCCTCTCGTGCCGGGGGTGGGCGTTTGGCTCAGCGGTTAAGACCCCGCTTCTCTCCGTCCGTCCGTCCGTCCGTCGGAAGTCCAATCACCAGGCAAGAGAGTGGAAGCTCTTCCTTTACAGAGCTGGGAAGTAATTGTGGGGGTGGGGTGGGGTGGGGTGTGTGTTAATAGTTAACAAAGCCGAAGCAGGGGACATCGCGGCGTTAACCCACTGCAGGTGAGAATAAGTGGCTTGTAACACACAGTCTGGTGCCTGTCACTTGGAAGTAGAGTGAACGTCCGAGTCTCAGCTCATTAAGGACAATCGCCCTCTCCCCAACTTGTTACAGAGCCGAGGCCATCAGGACAGCGAGGTGTTTTTGTTTTTAAGATTTATTATTTATTTGAAAGTCAGAGTTACACAGATAAAGAGAGAGAGAGGTCTTCTATCCGCTGGTTCACTCCCCAGATGGCCACAATGGCCGGAGTTGCGCCGATCTGAAGCCAGGAGCCAGGAGCTTCCTCCGGGTCTCCCACGTGGGTGCAGGGGCCCAAGGCATTGGGCCATCTTCTACTGCTTTCCCAGGCCATAGCAGAGAGCTGGATTGGAAGTGGAGCAGCTGGGACTTGAACCGGTGCCCATATGGGATGCCAGCACTGCAGGCGGTGGCTTTACCCACTGCACCACAGCGGTGGCCCCAGGACAGTGCGGTTTTAGTAGAATAGACAAATGGACTAACGGAACAGAGTAACAAATACAGTAGCAGGCGCATACATATACAGCTGAGCAACTTTCAAAGAGTGACAAAGCAAAGCCGGCGCCGTGGCTCAATAGGCTAATCCTCCACCTTGCGGCGCCGGCACACCGGGTTCTAGTCCCGGTTGGGGCGCCGGATTCTGTCCCGGTTGCCCCTCTTCCAGGCCAGCTCTCTGCTATGGCCAGGGAGTGCAGTGGAGGATGGCCCAGGTGCTTGGGCCCTGCACCCCATGGGAGACCAGGAAAAGCACCTGGCTCCTGGCTCCTGCCATCGAATCAGCGCGGTGCGCCGGCTGCAGCGGCGGCCATTGGAGGGTGATCCAACGGCAAAAAGGAAGACCTTTCTCTCTGTCTCTCTCTCTCACTGTCCACTCTGCCTGTCAAAAAAAAAAAAAAAGAGTGACAAAGCAATCAGATAAGGAAAGTGGAGTCTTAGAACATGTGACAGGGGCCGGCACTGTGACATTGAGCGGGGAGGAAGGGAGGGAGTTCTTCCATCGGCTGGTTCACTCCCCAGATAGCCACAGCAGTCCGGGCAGAGCCAGGCTGACGCCAGGAGCCAGGAACACGTGGGTGGCAATGGCTCAAGCACTTGGTCCATCTTCTACTACGTTCCCAGGTGCATTAGCAGGGAGCTGGATCAGAAGCGGAGCAGCCGGGATTTAAATTGGCACTCATATGGTATGCCGGCATCACATGTGGTGGCTTAACCCACTGAGCCACAATGCTGGCCCCTAAAACAATGCTTTTCTTTCTTTCTTTTTTTTATTTAGATTTTTTGAAAGGCAGAGTTACAGAGAGACAGAGAGAGAGAGAGAGGGAGAGAGAGAGAGAGAGAGGGAGAGAGAGAGAGGGAGAGAGAGAGAGATCGTCCATCAGCTGGTTCAGTCCCCCAAATGGCTGCAATGGCCAGGGCTGGGCCAGAGGAGCTTCTTCCCGGTCTCCCACGTGGATACAGGGGCCCAAGCACTCGGGCCGTTTTCCGCCACTTTTCCCAGGTGCATTAGCAAGGAGTTGGGTCAGAAGTGGAGCAGCCAGGTCTCAAACCAGCACCCATATGGGACGTCAGCATCACAGGTGCCGGCTTAACCTGCCACGCAACAATGCCAGGCCCTGAAAACAATTTCTAAGCAAATAACAGACCCGGAGAAAATTCTTGTAACATATATATTAGGACTTATATGCAGAATACATAAAGACTTTCCATGAAAAAAAAAGGACATTTTTTTAGAAATGGGCAAAAGTCTTGAACAAAGGCTTTACTAGA